ATAACGCCATAGCATCTGTATATGGTTTCGTTGCGTTCTTTGACTTGATTAATGTAACATTGCGACACATAGCTCAATGTCCACCCCATGTGTTAATAAATATAGTACACGCGTGGCAGAGCTGCTATCCTGTGAGGATGCAATCGATAAACTTTATCAACGCACCGACAATTGTCGATGGTATTGTCAGGATTATGAAATCTTTCATGACAGAGAAGATAAAGAACAGATTTCACGTTTACTCACACATGTCGCTCAGCTGTTTTAAGGATGTTCCAGCAGATATCTTGCCAATTGAGTATGGCGGCACTGATGACACAATTCAGGAATTAACTGGTAATAGTAAAAAGTATTGGCGAAGAAAAACTAAACTTTTGACAGCAATCATTTAAATAATCAATAATAATAGAAATCACCGAATTAAAAAAATGTATATGAGAATTACTGGTTTGACTTGCGTAATACTTAATTCAATACAAATAGTATAAATATTTATTTTTGCAGATTATTGGATGAAATTGGTCGAAAAGAATCGCGACTGGATTATGAGTAATGAGAATAACGAGATCGAATACACTACATACCTATAATGTTTTGGAGCAATGGATTAAAAATCGGTAACAAATATTTGCTTTTAAGACATTGTTAAATGTATTTATTATAATATTACCGTAATATAAGTCGAATTTTGTTTGTTTTATGAGTTTTGGAGGGAAATAATCAGGGAATGGAAAGTTACTTTCTAAATGTAGTTACTTTCTAAAAGTAACTAATTATCATTAATTGTTACTCAATACGAAAAAATCTTTCCCACACGAAAAGATTGATCCGTACTATCCTAGTTATGTGCTTAGTAAACGTACGGATACATGACGGATATACACATACAGCTACACATACAAATACACACTTTTGATTATGTTGTTGCATTTCTCGACTTTGATTACACATACTAATTTCTTATAAAATACATACTTTTGACTTCAAGATTGTTTCAATGCCTCTCCTGTCTACAAAATACATAAGATATTGGCCGTGTGACTTTCGTCCAAAACTAAAAAAAAAAATTCTTTTTCTTTTTAAGTATTGACTTCGTATCGATCGGTTTAATTTTAATTTGTAACACTAGATCTCCTTTGACGATTAATAATTTATTTTGTGGCGTCTTATTTA